TCAAATTTGTTCAAATGAAGGGCCACACCCTCTTTCAAGGGGAGATAATAAAGAGTTAGTGAAAAATTAATAGCATCTTTTAAAAATCTTCTTCTCAAGAACCACAGGGCCAGGAAAGATGAAACTCATGTGGAAGCATCCTCAGGTAGTGTAGATTCAAGCTTGTTCAAATCATGACCCCCGGGGGTAGGGCGGGGCCACAATGGAGGATCAAAGTTTTACATAGAAATATATAGGAAAAACCTTCAAAAATCTTCTGCTCAAGAAAAGCAAAGCCAAGATGAGTCATATTTATATGGAAGCATCCTCAGGTAGTGTAGATTCAAGTTTGTTAAAATCATGGCCCCCAGGGGTAGGGTGGGGCCACATTGGAGGATCAAAGTTTTACATAGAAATATAAAGGAAAAATCTTTAAAAATCTTCTTCTCAAGAACAACAAAGCCATGATGAGGCATATTTATATGGAAGCATCCTCAGGTAGTGTAGATTCAAGTTTGTTAAAATGATGACCCCTGGGGGTAGGGAGGGGCCACAATGGAGGATCAAAGTTTTACATAGAAATATATTGGAAAAACCTTTAAAACTCTTCTTCTCAAGAACAGCAAAGCCATGATGAGTTATATTTATATGGAAGCATCCTCAGGTAGTGTGGATTCAAGTTTTTTCAAATCATGACCCCTGGGGGTAGGGTGGGGCCACAATGGAGGATCAAAATTTGACATAGAAATATATAGGAAAAATCTTTAAAAATCTTCTTGTCAGGAACAGCAAAGCCCTGATTGATCATTTTTATGTGAAGCATCCTCAGGTAGTGTAGATTCTATTTTGTTCAAATCATGACCCCCAGGGGTAGGGTGGGGCCACAATGGAGGATCAAAGTCTTAAATAGAAATATATAGGAAAATATCTACTGAAGAAGAACTGCAATAAATAGAAATATATAGGAAAATATCTACTTCTGAAGAACTGCAAAGCCATTATTAGTCATTTTGATATGGAAGGATCCTCAGGTAGTGTAGATTCAAGTTTGTTAAAATGATGACCCACAGGGATAGGATCAGGGCACAATGGGGGATCGAAAATTTTACATAGGAACATATATAGGAAAATATCTTCTTCTCAAGAACTGAAAATCGTGTTTAGTCATTTTGATATAATAGCATCCTCAGGTAGTGTAAATTCAATTTTGTTCAAATGATGACCCCCAGGGGTAGGGTGGGGCCCAGTGGGGGGTAGAAAGTTTTACATAAGAATATATAGAAAAAATATTTCTTCTCAAGAACAGAAAATCTATGTTTAGTCATATTGATATGGAAGCATCCTCAGGTAGTGTAGATTCAAGGTTGTCCAAATGATGACCCCTGGGATAGGGAGGAGCTACAATGGGGATCAAATTTTTACAAAGGACTACCGGTATATGGGGAAAAAATTTTTAACCCCCCCCCCCCCCCCCCCTAATCTTCTCTATACTGAACTGATTTGTGCTTTTGCCTAGCCAATGTGCTCAGGTGAGTGATGTGGCCCTTGGCCCTCTTGTTATTTAAGTTGTCTTAAAAGATGCGTAATTTTCCATATCCAGATGCAACTTGTGATAGACAAAACTTGCTTTTTCGAATTTTAAATCTATTTACACTCTGAAATATTTTAAAAGATACATGTCCACTTTAATAAATTTTATATCTGCTTTAAAAATCCCATTATGGACAGAGTAATGAGTCCGGAAACATGGAGAATTAAAACTCCACTTAGATACTGTAGAGCATAGTATTTGTCAATCAATATCTCCAAAATAAGGTAAGAAACCTAATGATATAACTGCTTTAAGATATGTAGGACATACTGAATTAGAAATATACAAAATATGAAAAAAATTGAATGACAAGTATTTTTTCAGCTCAGTGTCCTTCTCCTCAAATTATAATCCAGTAATGATTTTGCTCTAAGTCGGTCGCATCAACAAACTTATTAACATTGATTATACAGTTTAAGAAGAAATTAATTAAAAAGGGAAGGCTGGAAATAATTTTCATTTACAGAGACATGATTAGGTAATAAAGTTAATAATATAAATGACATTTCTGTGGATAAGAATATGCCGATAACATGGACCATGAGTATGCTACATGTTTCAAAGTTGATGCGTCAGACAGGCCTAGACTTTTGCACAAGTTAAAGTTTGCAAGAAAAGGAATTGGTACGATTTGACACAGACAAATTTAATAAGTTTATTACTGCAAACAATACAATATTTTCTTTGAATAATTATTATCACATTACACCCATACCTCCACCCCTCATCCCCCATCCCATTAAATCATAATGCTAAAATATTCTTGGAATACTAGTATATAAAAATAGTTGATTCACTTGCAGCAAACTTACTTTCTGTAACCAGATCATCCAGTTTGTGAGAATCAGTCAATCACGTGTTGATTCATTGTCTCTAATTTACTGAAAAGAGTTTTTTTTTTATGCAAAACAAGATAATTTTTAGGGACAATAGGTACTGGGTGTGTATTATTATTGTTTTAAATATGTACAACTTTGTAGATACAAATGTACACTCAAAGGCTAACTGTATTATAGTAAAATGTGGCAATATATTACTTTTGGAAGAAAAATTTCATGGGGGTCCCTTTAATGCAGAGCTCATACCATAAAAAAGATAATGCGTCAACTATAATTTTTTTAGCTTATTCTTTTTGTTAGATGTTATTTAGTGAAAAGAAAGCAAATTTTCGAAAACTGAGTCCATAAAAATATTAAAAAATGACCAAGATTGACCTGTGAAGCATATTTTCTCGTACTAAATTTTGATGCATTTACCTAACAAAGTGCACATATTTATAATAATTCACACAAAACAATGATAATTATATATGGTTCATTAACACTTTTCTATTCTATTTTGTGTATTAAAGTTGACTGTTTAGATTTTAATTCTTATATATAGACAAATTCATGGACAGGTACATTTTCATAAATTTCAGTATTTTGCATTTTGGGGTATATACTCTGAGAGGCAATAGCAGAAAATAAAGATATTGACATATAATTTTTCTTATGTCTATCCATTGCTGGAATGTATGTCTATCTTATAAATTAAAGCAGATTTTTCAAGATTGAGTCCTTTAAGTGCGGAGTATAGAAATACAGTACCTTAAAACAGAATAAAATTGTTTTAATGTGTGAAAGGGTGAAAATAGAATGAAGCAAAAATGACCTGTATATACAGTAGTCTTTGAACTAATTACAAGTTAACTCACTTGGGGCCATGATGGAGCAACAGTAGGTTTAAGTTTATATGAAAGTATATTGAAAATCTAAAAGGTAAGCAGGACCAATGTGTCTAAAGTGAGCAGCCTTGTCTGTGGGCCTCTTGTCTCTGTTCAGGGTGACCAATTTTGATCATCGTCTTCTCACTTCACATGTAGGAAAATGAAGTTGAGATGTTTTAAATAAAACCAGAGTTGACTTTTGGCTTGACCATGTAATTGGTACATAAAACTTTTTTAACTAACCTGTTTTTTGAAGATTTTTTTTTTAAATTTTTTTTTTTTTTTTTTTTTTTTTTTTTTTTTTTTTTTTTTTTTTTTTGTAGTTGGCCTGCCTGCAAGGAATGTTTTAGATTTTGCATTCAATAAATTCTGGCCTTTTATATGAATAGGGCATCATCAAATTTTGCTGAAATACACAAATTTTTGAAAATATAATTATAATAGATAAAAACAATAATTGAAGAATTGAAAATTGTATTATCATCCCATATATTTGATACAAAGATACTACATATCTGACAGGTTGTAAACAGATAATCATATAGTTGTCCCACATTATTATTACTGATTCTTTTTCTCATATTTTGGGCTTTATTTTGTTGTATTTTCATTATAAGTTACCACAATCATATCACAAAGATAGCTACTATAGAGAATTTCCAGTAGGGGGCTGAAAGATTGCGGAGTGGTCAGTTTTCTAGGTTTGATGAGATCAGAAAAGTGTCGATCTGTTAACCCATTCTACAAATCATGTTTCAGGCAGGTTGATATGATAACTTCATATAAATGATATGTGTACTAACTATGAGACACAATTGACTTTTAGATGTATATTCAAGTATATTACAAATAAGTTGATTCATGAATAGTGAAATTTTTGATAAAGCATATAATTATTAAATGTATGCTATTGTGCACTCTGCTAACAGTTTTCAAATGAATAAGGCCATTCCAAGTTATTTCTCTGTTTAGCGTCCACCCGTCTTTCAAAAACCTACCTACCTATTCGCAAAAAACACACAAAGCAAAAAATAAAACAAAGAATTGATAATCATAAAAATGAGGTCAATCAAAGAATTTGATTTCATTAATCTATTTTTCTCATAGTTAGATATATTCTTAAGCAAAATCAGAATATTAAATGCTTAAAGTTTACCTAACATGACATATTGTAGACAAATATTTAGAGAAATTGACTGAATTTAAAGATTTTGACCAGTATAATCGGTTTCAGGACTCCTGATTTTGTTTGTTTTTTCTGATATTGGGTGTCCAAAACTTAGGCGCACGCGGACGCTAAACATAGAAAAAACTTTGAATGGCCTAATCTACTTTTGCAACACTCTAGATTACTATCTTTGATTGTGAAGAAGTCGTAGAAATACTTGTCAAATATAAAGAGTCGCCCGTGTGGCGCAGTGGTTAGAGCGTTCGCTCTAGAGTTGCGGAGTAAGGAGTTGATCCTTACGTGGTGGGTTCGAATCCCACTGTGGGACGTGGAGACCGGTCCTTCAGATGAGACCATATAAACCGAGGTCCCCTGTCGCAGTAGTTGCTGGCACAAAAAAGATCCCTCACTGCTCAATGGCCCTGAGTGCCAAGTATAGGTCAAAATTTGTAGCTCTCCACCGGCAAGTGGTGGCGTATCCATATGAGTGAAAAACTCTGGAGAGGGACGTTAAACAATAAACAAACAAACAAATATAAAGAAGACAGTTATACTAGTACATTTCATTTAATTAATTTAATTCAGGTAAATGCAACAAGGATTGATTATTATGTAACTACATGCAGTATATGCACTGATCATCATGTATATTTAATATATAGTGAACTAGAGAATTTGAATTTTTTATACATCATGTCCATAATCTATCCCTGCACACAACCTGTGCACAAATCAAAGGTTTCCTGTTGCACAGTTTCGTTCAGTCCGATAATCAATTGATGTTTGGCCTGAAGTACGAAAGTACCCATTCCTACTAACTTGCATCTTTTTCATCCGCTTTCCCAACATAGTTCCGAATTCCTGTCGGAATTTATCATTCAGCCAGCCATATAAGAATGGGTTTACACAGGCTGAACTCATGGCAATTATTTTTAAAATTAAGTCTGTTAATTTGTAAGCATGCCCTAAATGGGTACTAATGTTTGGATTGAAGTATGAAACTATGCTAAAAATCTGAAAAGGAAGCCATGATATGGTAAAAGTTGTTGTTATTGCTATTAAAATTCGTGTTGTTTGGTAGTTCTTTCTAGTTTCCTTTCGTTTTATGGGACGTTTTTTCAGAACTTGGTAGATTTGGAAATAGAGTACAGAAATTATGATGTATGGTATAAAAAATTGTAGCACAAAGACAAACATTGTGTATGCTCGACTTGTTTTTAACTTCCAATTTTCTATGCAGAAACTTTTTTCGATAATGTCTTGAATAAAAGGTCGGAGATCAATCACTTCTTGACTTTGCTCTGTGTGTAGAATTATTGGAATTGAGCACACCACAGAGAAAATTATTATAAAAAACACAATGATTAAAGCCATTTGTATGGTCAGTCGCTTGCGAAATGGGAATACGATTAGGATGTATCTTTCAACAGCAATCATGAGCATAGCAAGTGTGGACATGAAAACTGGAACAGCGAACATAGGAATAATAATTTGGCACAGAACTGGACCGAATGACCAGTAATCTGTCAAACCATAATGCAGCTGGAATGGCAAATTAAACGCACAGAGCATTATGTCCGAGAATGCCAGTGTAGAAATGAATATATTTGTCACAGTGTGAAGTCGTCTGTTAATAATTATTACTATAATCACCATCAAATTCTCAATAAAACCCAAAAAGATGACGGCTCCAAACAGAATTATCATAAAAATCCTCCAGCCACTATTACGCAGCAGATTAGGGCTCTCAAAGTCAGAGATCTCAAAGTGGGAATCCATAGGCCATTGTGAAGAATTCCAGGATTCATTTCCATAGTAGTAGAGAGGGTAATCCAGGGTGGAATTTGGAAGCATCCAATCATCTGTCATTTTCCAGCTTTTTTTCTTGTAAAGAATTGTTGATAAGGTGGATGCCAGGTGTTATATCTTTATATATATATCCTTATATAGCAGTGGTTTCTTCTCCTTGTAATCAGATTGGGTAATACATGTAATTACTTCCTTTTGAATCAAATGCAGCCAATTTTTAGAGAGCTCATTTGGTTGTAAGATGTGAATAATTAAAAGGATGCAGCTGTAAATTTCTTTTTCTTTCTTCTATTCCCTTTGATGTATTGTTGGCAGTTGCCTGAAAAGAATAAAAGTCTGAAGATGAATTCCTCATTATGTTCAGATAGGAGAAAATAATGAATTTTGTATTGCATAAAATATACAAAATTTTAGTCCATAAAATTGAACATCTGAGTTACTGTGTAACACTAGTTTAACAAAAACAGTAAAAACCTTGACATCTTCAACATCCTGGGGCCATCAAAAAAACTTAATATTTAAATTAAGCTTCCTCAGACTCCATCAACTTTATGTATCATAAGACGATGTATTGATGTTAAAGATACAGAAATAAAACTGAATAAGTTTGAATTAAATTATTGTTTGGGCTATTACATGTGCTTGTTTGTATATCCAATACTTTAACCTCCACCATAATGACTGTATGAATTGTTGAGGCAACCAAATTTGGTCAAATAATGTAAGCAGCAGTGCTTTATTTTTTATATGAATATTTAACTTTTAGTATAGGAAGTTATACAGCTATACTAAATACATAATCTAGGAAAAGTTTGTTATTCATGGAATGCTCACATGTAAAATGTCAGCTGTCAGAACAGTCTGTATTTAGTGGCACCTTTAGGGAGATTGGACGAGACAAGTCGGGAGAAATTGGTTTTACATTGACATGATATTGACACCCTATACAACTTTCTCTTAAGGTCCCGCACAATAAGCTCTCAGTACAAACAAGACCCCTGAATGAACCATATACTCAATTACTACCCTTAGATTGGCTATAAAACTTGATTCCAATATGAAAGGCTTGATTAACATTTTTATAATTAAAAAGAAATGTTCTTAATTTTTTTGGAATCATGAAATAATTGAGGTTTTTAACTTTTAAAAAAGAATTTGAGAAATATATATGTCACAATCGAGACTCAACAATAAGGACATTCATCAATTAACCTTTTGTTCTTACTGGCGTTATGCTATTTCTTCCAATTGTCTTGAGATAAAAATGATTAATTCCTAGTGACAAAGAATTTGCAGGGGAAGAAAAGAGATTTTGCATGGTATTTGCAATTAGGAGTGTTGAACTTCTGATTATTACCAATAACCTACTAAGTCAGTGACGGCAACAAGTAATGTAAAACACACTTGATTTATATCTGCCATCATGTAAGGAACAGAGATCCCTGATTGTTATAGATAAGCATGATTAAATGAAAAGAAAATTGTTATAATTTCACAACAACTGCTTGAAAATTATTGGGGGGGGGGGGGGAGTCAATTTCTTATTGTAAGGAAATAGTTTCTATTTGACTGATTATAACAGGAATATGCTTAATATTCCTATTTTTTGTATGAAGACAATACTCATATTTTGTCCGATTTTTATTTTTCCCTGCATGATCAATGAGCCTGTGGATTTTGAAATTACAAAATGAGGAACCTGCAAAGACAGCTTCCCTGAAATTGATTCCACAGAATTTACAATTAGTTACAACATTTGTTACAAGACAATAAAATATTGCCAGATAGTGCATAAAGGATGACTGTAAAGACCTTTGAATGACCGAGATATGAGTGCCATTGTTAAAATCCATGCAGTTTTCTAATGGATATTCATTAAGACTTCAATAGAGAGCAGAATATTGACTCCCATAAAAGGACATTCAAAATTGAGCCAAAGGATCCTATAGTTTAATTTACACTCAGCTCATTAATATCTCATATATGTTCTGAATTAAAAAATTTACTTCTATCTCTTTGATATTAACACATATTTTTTTAAACATGTTAAAAAAAAACCCAGAAATTTAAGTATTCTAAACACAGAAGGGAAATAGAGATATTTTGATGTCTATTTTTATTAGGGATGTCAACGAGTACCCGGTTAACCGGGTACTCGATCGAACATCCGAGTATCAAATACTGAAAATGGTACTCGGTTACTCAGAAGTGTATTTTTTCTTATTTCAAAGTACATATTTTTATCAAAAACTTATCAAAAAATAACTTAAATATGCATACGGTAATTAGCGTGTCATCATCTACACCTGTAAAACACCCGTTTTTTAGTGGCTGTGTATATACAGTAATTAATGACCAATCACCTGGCGTACAGCCGTTCTCACTTATTGTGGTCCTTAATTTTTGGATGGCTTCAATGACTGTTTTCAGTGAACGTAGTTTAAGTATGGTCAAATCATTTTTAAATTATTTAGTTAATATTTATTTAATATATGACAGTGAAATTGAACATGCATAGAAATACCGCTACCCACTTCAAAAGTGAAGAAATATTTAGAAATAACTAAAAAGATTTTTAAAAATGTTGAAAGTCAGTTTCTGTAGTAAGTTTAGTGTATACGGGAGAAACAACCAACATACGGAATAATATTACACTAGCGACCCCAACAGTGCCCGTTCCTTCCCTTTCTCCAGTCTAAAATCACAAACCTGCGTAACTGATTGTCCTCCTTTTGCGTTGATGAAATAGATCCTAACAAGAACTGTGATCCATTTGTAATTTTGGATGTATTAATTGTGTCTTTTATGTTTATTTGATAAATAAATTTAGTACCAAAAAATCATTTCCGTTGGACTCGATGTTTATATATACATTTAGAACCGTGATAAAAACAGCTTTGGGGTTTAACAGAGCTTAACAGGACTCAAGAAAATTATTGTAGTTGTATTTTGTACACAGTTGTATTTACATTCTTACTGAGTACCCGGGTACTCGATCAGAAAAATGTCCGAGTAACCGATTATCAAAAATTGACCTATTTGACATCCCTAATTTTTACCGTTTGGAAACAGAAAGCAAATAAAAATGTAATGTGAATTTTTTAAAATGAAATCAGCAAAGATTCATAGACATTTTTCTGTGAAAAGGAAGGATAGTTTTTATTTGTACAGCAGCATCAAGAGCATGCAGATTCAGGTTTTTGCAAAGAGGGGACAATAAACAATGTCAGAGACACATTTCATCATGTTTATTTGCTTGCTTAGGAAAGGGAATGTGAATATATGAATAATAGTAGTTTAATAATTTTGAAAATGTGGAGATTCAGAATTATAATACATACTTATTTTTTGCAATATACATGTGAAGGAAAAGGAAAATTCCTATTTACTACCTTTCGTGTACTTATTAATGATATAACTTCTTGGAAATGGTAATATAATGTGTATGTGAATGATGATGATGTTTTGTTATTGATTATAGTTATACATTATTTAAAAGATACCCAAGGACATACCACAGTTTATTTACTAGTATAATAACTATACATTTAGTAATTATTATTCTACATGAAAGCTAAGTTTCATTGTAACCATGCAATGTCACCGTCTATCACAATTAATTACTTAAATTAATTTGCTATCAATCAACTTTATCAAATCATGACTGCTCTATCTGTACCTTTGGAATTTTTAATATTAAAGGGATTTCAATTTTTATATTAGCTGCTTTCTAATATATGAATTTGCAGACTTGATAATTAACAAGAAATGAAAATTTAACCAAATATTTATTACTTTAATAATAAGTTTGTTGAAAATTATCTGCATGTATTAAGTAATTGATTTATTTTTGGATGAAATTAAATGAATCTTTGTTATTCAAAACTGATTACCTGATAATAAATGCTGTAAACAGACTTATTTTAGCAGAAATCATATTTTGGCACATTTCGCACTGCTTCATGTCTGCTAATTCATGTACACCCTGATACAGATTCAGGCTAATAAATGATTTAAATTAATACATTTTGCAAGAATGAAGTATGTAAATTTATGATTGTTCTAATTAGTTGAAGAGGTATATTGCACTAAATTTTGAATATTATAATTTATGTACATTTACATAAAAAAGAGAAAGTAGAATTCAGTTTTATGAAATTCTGAAACATTTGGGAACACGTATGTGTTTGCAATACATTTAAATTGTGGTATGTAAAAAGTCTTACGAAATATAGTAGGCCAATCAAACTTTTGTTCAGTGTTTTCAGTTTATGCCTGTGATAGTTGTAATACTGAGAGAAAAAAGAATTGAAACAAAGCTTGCTTGTCTCAAAGAATTATAAAAACAATTTCCAAGTTAAGTCAGCTTTCTTAATATTATAGTAGACCAGATATCATTCATTTGCCTAGCTGAGTGCATGTTAATTAAGACTTAGATAAACTAAACAGAGCCCATGAGAAGATTCACATCATCAGCTATGATTGTTACTGAAAAAAATGTAAGTTGTATATCTTTAGGATTTTTTCAAATTTCCAAATACATCTTTGAAAAATACACTATCAAAATATTGGAGCAATTAAGCCCTTATATATCTGGATTAATTGTGGTAATTTAAAAGGTCATAAGTTGCTGTGATACCCCAGCTGATGAATGGGAGGGGAAAACCCATAAATTGACAGTAAATTTGTTCACATGTTATAACACTCAGATCTGTAAATTGGCCATAGAGATACTATAAAGTGATTTGATGCACCTGTATTTTCTTTCTCTCTATGAATAAAAGATTGTAGATATTGATTTAGATTACAGTTTTTTGGCTTCTGATCATGAGACCCAATTCTGTTAAATAAGTAAGACTAATTTGTCTGAGTGAATCGTTGCAGCAGTACTGTTTTTATATTTTGGTGCCTATTTAAGGATGTTTGGTACATTATTTAAATCAGTATCAAAGAACATACAGAATCAAAGTTAAGTTAAAAATGAATACAGAATGACCTGTAATGGGGTCAGTATTTTTCAGAGCAGGTACATGTGTTCCCTACATTTCTATTCCGGAGGCCTGGTCATTTAAACCATATTTTGTTCAGTATATATATTAAGTACATAATGAATAGTGCAAAGTCAAACGTGGTCATCTTAACATGGTTTTTTAGGTCTGTAAACACAACAGACAGAATATTTATAGCATAATGGTTGATGAAGTACCATTGCAATTAAGAAGAAAAAAAAACCTGTATTTTTGTGTAAGTAACTTGCTGTAAATATCAGTAAAGTGGACATCAAAATGACACATAATTACTAAAATACTGTTTTTGATAAACTAACAGCTTGGGAAACTACACTTTATAGGAGACAAATGAATCAACTCCACATAAGGTTAACTGTTGACAAATGTTGGGTCAAAACTTTCCATATTGGTTTAGCACAACATGTAAGCAATACATGTACAATGTATACATGTCGACATTTTACAAGACTATCTTTAAAACTTCAGAGTACCTTGAATCATACTGAAATGCATGAAATAAAAATTATTGCACAAAAAGTATATGTGAGCCTTCAATATTGAATGCCCCGGCGCATGCCATTCTAAACAAAAAATGTTGTCTAGTCAACCACCCAACAGCAATATTTAGGATTGGTAGAGGTAGCTAGGTAAGATGTGTTTATTTTCACACAAAATTCTTAATAATTATTTATTTTCTATCAGCCTCAATAAAAAACCTTTAGTTAGTAAGCAAATCATAACGCATGGTAGGGTCATTGGAATGATATGATATTGAACACTTTCAGGACAGACGCTGATGTTGCACTAAGTTTTAATTCAGATACTGATTATTTCTCATAAATTTTGAGTTCTTTAATTAAAATAATTAATATAAATCAATGGGAAAATGTTTTAGCTTCATGATAAAGGAGTTATTGAACTTTTATTGAACAGGTGAAGGTTGGCACTCGTTGGCTATACAAATGTACTTACAAGCTCTTGCATTTGTACAGCCAATTTGTGCCAATATTCACCAATATGACTATTATATATTGCCCTATAATATTGAATCAATTTTGGATATTATTTGGATGCTTTTCTACTACTGTCTAAGAGTAGAATATCTTGTATTAGTAAAGTGTTCATCATTCATCCATATAGCTGTTCATTTCTTTGTCTGCATGTAAACAGAATGCCATTCCTCGAATAGTTTTTTTGTCTTTTCAAACAAAATTTGGTACTAGTGTTGACTACGGTAAGTTATATAATTTTCTTTATCAAGTTTTAATTCAGATGAATAAGGTTGCAATAGTTACGGTACTAAAAAAAGATTGCTTTGTGAAATGCTTCTCTAACAAGTTTTTTAATGAAACCAAAAGAGGAAAAGAAATTTTATAGATTTCAGATATTGTCCTACTGAGTATATTCCTTATTCTTTATTTAATAACCATTAGGAGCACCAAGTCATTTATAAAATTAAAAATCAGGATAATGAAAATTGTGTATCTATTTGTAGTATTCTTGCTGATTAAGTTTTATTGAAATAGCTAGACCTGCACTGAAAAAATATAGTAGACTGCAGGAAAATAATTCTGTATGGATTTTAATTTCATTGAATGGTGTAGCCATGCAGTGGTTGCAAAAAAGATGGAGTAATCTTAAATGCTTTCAGAATCCCATTTCTCTAATTCTTATTTTAATGAGCTTGTAATGTAGTGACATTTCATTAAAAATTGAATTAAATCACTAAAATAAGCAAATACAATCATCAATCAAATATTCTATTTCTTTCTGTCAGATTTCAAAGAGAAAGCTTTTTCATTTTTTACAAAGAAAATTTTTATTATTACTCGAGAAAGAAATATTCTTTTCTAAGTTCAAACCAGTAAAGCTACAATCTCATGGGAGTCTTCTACTTGACACATTTAAGTCAAGAAAAAAATTCTTCATTTAGATGAAAATAGTCTTCACCAGTTCTTGAGTTTGATTTTATCATCATCATATATATCGTTATCATTTTGAAATTCAAAGCAAGCAGATTAACACCACATAGGGTAGATCAATGGTGCATAAAAATGAGGGAAATTGTTCAGGGGGGGTAATCCAGTATTTGCATGTACATGTAGTCTGAACCAATAGTTATAATGAGATTGATCTTAACCATATTTTATGGACCTACGATTTTATGACAGTTTACCACAAATAAGCATATTTACAAGATTATGGTGTTTATGCCTAGTTTGGTATAGGATTGGTTTAAGATAATGAGGTCACCATGTGCACATATAAACAAGCATTTATCACAAACATACTCTATATTCATAGGTTTGTATCTCCAACTTGAAACAAAGGATCAGATGCATATTTTGACTGTATATCATTACAGAGATGATAGTGATGACCCACTGTGATGCAGAGCCAACATATAGTTTCTATTCTTATTATGATAGGGGTGAGATTTTCCTGTTGCATCAAACAGAGTTGTATTTATGCACCAACAAGTTACAGAGGTAGTGTTGTATGCATTGTATTTTAGCCAATTGGAAATGGTGATTTGGAGCATAAGGAATGCTTGCAAACATTGGAATGTAGGAAATATATGATCAGAGAAAGAAAGATGACTTATTGTACACAAATTCTGGCTAAAAAGTTATCTCTTCAGACTATATTAATCAATAAAAATCTCAACCTATATTTTGCAGATTGGTTTTGAAATATATCAAACTTGAAACGTATGTAAATATGCATGTTATTTTTATATTAATAGCCATTTCTTAAGAATAGGAGGTTAATTGTAAATTTTCCATCTGGATAAACAGTAGTATATATATTTAGGATTTTTAGATAGTGTTCTTGGCACATGAATAACAAAGAACAACAAGTCCGAGCAAATATTGGCAGGTCAACTTGACAGAGAAATAATTCAATTGTATTTATAGTTCATATTTTAAGTTCCTTGGAATAAATTTATCAGGTGGTTCTATATTTTATCATGCATTAAGAGGTTGCATATTCTTCAGGATTGGAGATAAACTTGTGTCTACATTCAAACAATTTGTGTTTTTGCATACAGATTTTTATTTTTAAGAAATATAATGCTAGACTATTTTTGTGTCTGCATGGTGTTTGATAGTTTCTTCAAGAAATCTATTGAATTTTTGTTTAATTAATATATTAAAGAGTATATATATATATATATATACTGGTATATGCTTCAGCATTTTATTTACTGGTAATCTCAAAGTGCAGAGTTACCATGGACAATCATATTAGATACTAATACTTCATACGCAATAACTTGATCATTTTTAAAAAAAACTTTATTGCATTTTAGTTTCTGAAGAACCATTGTGTAACACTTTGTACAGTAATCACACTTTGCCACCTGCAGTGATTTGCCATTTTATTTGGCAATATTGTTAAACACATTGTACCATCTGCTGTTATTTTGCAATATTTGCCATGGTAATCTTATAAGGCAGTACTGCACTTTTTTAATTAAATTCTTATTGACCAGGAGCTAAAAGGTAGCTTTTTTCAGGTTAAAAGGATGGTTTATAATACTAACTCAAATTATTTTTTTAATAAAATTAATTGATCTATATTAAGTTAAAAATTTTAAGGTTTAATATTACCATTTTCAGACTATCAATAGTATAATTAACAATCTTTTTTTTTTTTTTTTTGTTATCTTCAATATAAAAGATATGAATTTTATATTTATACTCATAATATTACAGAAAATGTGTACGTATGAGTACATTTGAAACTTACTGCAATTTGAGAAGCATCAAAAGCCTAAGGTACTGAGAAGCATTTCAGAACCCACAAAGTAAAGTAGCTCAAAAGAAAAGTTATTTTAATATCATTAAAAAGAAAGAAAGAAAACTTGAAAAAAAAATATCTTAAACAATGAAAGAAAGAATACATACTTGTTTCAAATTTCCAGATTGGTAGTTAGGTCCAGTGAAAAGCTGGTATGGTGATTAAGTAAAACATGTGTATCTGTACAGACATCCTCTGCAGCATTATAGATAGGATTCACAAACCAAACCTTTAGCAATGCATTTTATTGGAATATTGAATGACTGCAGTTAATGGGAAGCTTCCACTGTTAAACTAGGCAGCCGTCAATCATTAAATGGGAAGCAGACTGCAGGATTTGATTGGTCATTTAATGAAACTGAGGCTGACAGTTGTATAGGTACATAGATAATTACTCTGCCATCTCTCTATTGACTATTTAGGAGTGACAAATTTATTTTTGCATTATTAGCTCACCTGAGCCATTAAATCAACGAAGCTTTCCTCTGTTCTTCTATCTGCCTGAAAAGTTTGGTAATTGGTAAATTTTTCTTTAGAGCAGTGCATGGCTTCCCAATTAGACTCATCAAACTTGGCACAGTGTATGGTTAGTTTCTAAAAGACAGAAAGTACCACTTGGTTTTTTTGTGCATTCCTTTAATATAAAAACAAACATGGCTTCACGCTGACTGACCAGCAATTAACGGTCACACCTGCAAAATCACAGCATTACCTGCTAATACTGATAGAGTTTACCTGTGAATTTAAAGAAATCACTTATAATTCCTGCTTGGTTCCTATTACATTAGCATTTTGATAAAATGAATGTTTAATGTTGGTGTCAAAAAATATTTTAGACCAAATTTAACACATATAATTAACAAACTTTTCCAAAAATTGAAGGTACAATTGAACAAGTCAATACAAAATTTTCATCAGTGGGTCCATCTTTTTATTTCATTTTTTGAAATTGCATGCTTTCAACCAATCAGGACTCGGTTAATAAAAGGAAATATTTCATTACCTGTTTAAATTTTTAATACCCAAAATATTATATTTTATTAGTGCAAAAAGGTCACAACATAATTTACAGTATTTTTTTCAATAATTAATATTCAAATTAATTTGCACAAAACATGCAACATCAAATTATGTCTATAATTGCCATGATTACATCTAGCAAAAATATACAGAGGTTAAAGTGATTAACCTAAAATGTAAATTTAATGGGGATGAAACGGTTCACTGTGGTATCGATTTACTGCGATATTTCTTCTTGGTTTGATACATAGTGCAAAATCTCAATTTTCAGTTTGGTTAAATTTTTGGTCAGGATCATTATTCAGTCAGGTTTCACATAGGTAAAAACACACTTCTCAGCATAATTATGTATAAAAAACGTAAATTTTTGAGGACTGATAGTTTGTAAAATAATCTTTTAACAGTCAATTCATTATAATCAATTTCATCTAGTCAATTTGGACGTAAATTACCATAAGTGACTTAAGATTCAAAGAAAGAAAACAAACATTGAATTTGTTTCCTTTGATCAAAATGTATCGTAAAAAAAAAAACCTTAACGAGACAAGATTATACAATATGTACCTAGTGAAGAAGGTGTATCGTTTTAAAAACCCTACAATTTAAGTGCATAAAGGTCAAGTTAATTGTACTATTGCTCAGTAAGATGCACACTGACCTCTGATTTTCTTTTTGATTTTGAGTCGTACTTTATGAGTAGATATTTAAAATATATTTCTCAAAAATCCTTAATACAACCCCTGTTATGAATGACATACCCTAAGTATTGACTACACAACCTTGCTCAACCCATGTCATGAGTGACAATACCCTAAGTACTGACTACACAACCCATTTCAGGAGTGACAGTACCCTAATTACTGACTACTCAGCCCATGTCTTGAGTGACATACTCTAATTACTGACTGCTTCACAACCCATATCAGGAGTAACAATACCCTAATTACTGACTACACAGTCCATGTCAGGAGTGACAATACCCTAATTACTGACTACACAGTCCATGTCAGGAGTGACAGTACCCTAATAACTGACTACACAGCCCATGTCAGGAGTGACAGTACCCTAATTACTGACTACACAGTCCATGTCAGGAGTGACAATATCCTAATTACTGACTACACAGTCCATGTCAGGAATGACAGTACCCTAATTACTGACTACACAGCCCATGTCAGGAGTGACAGTACCCTAATTACTGACTACACAACCCATGTCTTGAGTGACATACTGTACATGAGCCTAAATCGGCATATTCAAAATTTAGTGCAATCACTGGGTATGGAGTTGTTGATGAAATCATGAATTAGAACTTTAGACATGTTTGTGCTGTTTATTGTATTTATAAATGATTTCTGAGTGGTATTCATGAATTAAAGCATCGTATATTGTCTGCACCAAAGCCACTAAAA